AGATGTCATTTAGTTGTGATGAATATGCAAAATAGTTCTCTGCAATCCTTGTGTTTCTTCCAGGTGTACCTCATAGCACATATTCCAGTGGGGTATCTGCCATATTCAAGAAGCACCACAGCAATGAGAGAATACTATAATGAGAAATTGATAGATATTTTTAGAAGATATGGAGATGTCATTGCAGGACATTTTTATGGCCACACACACAGAGACAGCATTATGATTCTTTCAGATAAAAAAGGTAATGTGATATTCTGTTTGAATCTCTTCAGGCTAAGATGCTCAAGGATAGCAGGGAAGATCCAATAAATTAAAAGTTTCATTATATCAAACTGTCAGCCCCAGCCTTTTCTGAATTATCTCATATGATTATATGAGAAGTATCCAATAACAAGATTAGGCCTGCAATTGGGATTCTTCAACATATATTCCTATAGCTCCCTGTGGCCAGTGGTCAACAAAAGCTTCTAAAACTCTCAGCTCTCTCAAATTTTCTTTTGATCCTTGAGTTTAGAGAAATATTGCTGCTTGTTACTTACCTGCTAGACTTGTTTTACTTCTAAGAATTTAAAAAAACAAATACTGGTGGGACACCTGAGACTATGGCCCTTAAACACCCTTCAAACTTGGAACTGAACCCACCCCCAGGGATCACCTATAAAGTGAATAGACAGACCTGTAAGTGAACACTAATAGCTGCGAGGGCCTTAATCCTCAGAACAATCAACCATATGAGACCACAAGAGCAGTATTAGCCCAGAAATACCACTGCACAAAGGCAGGAAGGGGCAGGAAAGATAGGCTGATGGAAGTGGGGATCCCAGAGGATTTCATCTAATGTCCCAAACAAAAAATATATAAATCGTTGAATGGAAAACTAATTTGCTCAGTAAACTTTCATCCAGAGCACAATTAAAACAAACAAACAAAAAGTCTTACAAAACACACATTTTAATGCTACCGATTAACAGTTTTTTAAAATAATTTTCTGTCTTTGACTAATAACTATTTTGCTTCATACATTTCCTTTTAAATAATTTTTTTTTGTGAAAAAAGACAAGCACAATTTATATCAATAATTTGAAATAAAATATATTAAGCTTTCACAAACAGTGAATTTGAGATTATCTACTATTTTGAAAGATTACTTCTGTATGAGGGCAGAAAACTGAGAATTAATAAAATAAGAGTTCTGATTTTATGCTAGTCAGGATAAAAAATTAGTATGCATTTTTTCAGTAATGGAGAATTTTTCAAAAATGTTGTACTTCTTTCATATCAAATTAATAGGCTTGGAAAAAATGGCATTTTTATTGAATTTGGCAGCTTTTTTAGTGAGAAAGAGATTTAGTCTTATAAAATAATACATGTATATGTAAATACATCACCGGGGTTCCTCATATGTATACAGATGTATTTGTGTATGTGTGTGTATTACAAACTGATATTTTAATCAGATTCTTATGTAGTTATTAGAATATCATTTTAGGTAGAGGTATAGCAAAAACTAGTTTTGTATTTTGCACTTGCAATGGACTTATATTTTTGTAACTTGAAAATTTTCAAATATATAAGAGCAGAGAGGATACAACAAATTCCCATGGACCCAT